GCAGCGAGAGGAGAGGTCCTGACCGGTCTCAGCTGGGAAACGTGGAAGACGGGGTGAACCTTGAGAGACTTGGGCAGGTGGATGCGGTAAGCCATGGGGTTAATGACCTTCTCCACTGGGTAAGGACCCAGAAACCGTGGGCTGAGTTTCTTGGAGCCAGCGGGCAGACGCATGTTACGAGTAGACACCCACACGTTATTGCCCGGCTGAAAGGTCGGTCCTGGTGAGGGAACAGAGGGGGCTGGTAACCATTACACAGCTCGAACGGGGAAAGCCCAGTAGCCGAGGAGACGTGGAGGTTATGGGACATCTCCGCCCACAAGAGATGCTTTGGCCATGTGGTTGGTTGGGAAGAGGCGAAGCAGCGTAGGTACCGCCCGAGCTGCTGGTTGGCGCATTCAGTCTGTCCATTGGTCTGGGGATGGTAGCCAGATGAGAGGCTGCTACTGGCACCGACCAGCCGACAGAAGGCTTTCCAGAACCTGGACATGAATTGGGGCCCTCTATCCAAGACAATGTCCTGAGGGAACCCATGGAGACGGACCACCTGCTCCAGAAGGACCTCGGCCGTCTGCTTGGCGGTGGGTAGGCCGGGAAGAGCCACCAGGTGGACCGCCTTGGAAAACCTGTCCACGATGGTCAGGACGGTGTCGAGCTGGTTGACGGGAGGCAACCCCGTAACGAAGTCCAGGTCTATGTGGGACCAGGGTCTGTGTGGGACAGGAAGAGGGTGGAGGTCGCCAGCCGGGGGTTGGTTCGGAGTCTTGGAACGGGCGCAGGTGGAACATGCAGCCACGTATTCATGGACATCCTTAGCCATGGAGGGCTACCACAGGGCCTGTCGTAGGAACTGGAGGGTGCGGGTCTCCCCCTGGTGACCAGCCAAACGGGAAGCATGTCCCCATGCTAGGGCCTCAGACCGGCAGGTGGATGGCACATACAGTCGGTTGGAGGGTGTGTCAGCCGGTGCGGGCTCGGTGGGCAGAGCAGCTCGGATGGCGTCCTCCACTAGCCAGTGAAGGGCTGCAACGAATCTCTGGGCAGGTACAATGGGCGGTGGTTCCTTGACAGGTGCAGATTGGGCGTGACGGCGTGAAAGGGTGTCCGCCTTCAGATTCTTAGAACCAGGGCGATAGGCCAGATGAAAGTGGTAAGATTCGAAGAACAGAGGCCACCGGGCTTGACGGGGGTTGAGTTGGTGAGCATTCTGGATATGAATTAGGTTTTGGTGGTCTGTCCATATGGTAAATGGGTCCTGGGCACCCAATAGCCACTGTCTCCACTCCTCCAGCGCCCATTTAATAGCCAGGAGCTCCCTGTCCCCCACCCCGTAATTCCTCTGGGTCGGTGTGAATTTCCTGGAGAAATAGGCACAGGGGTGGAGTTTGGAGTCCGGGCCGTGTTGAGATAAGACCGCCCCGCACCCACCTCGGACGCATCCACTTCCACGATGAAAGGTTTTGTTGTGTCCGGATGAACGAGGAGGGGAGCGGTCGTGAAATGGTGCACCAGGGTGCGGAAAGCCTGCGTGGCCTCAGGAGTGAAACGGAAAGGGTGAGTCTGGTTGGATGACTTGGTTAGGACAGTGAGAGGAGTGGCGATGGAACTGAAATTGCGAATAAAGCGGCGGTAAAAGTTTGCGAATCCAAGGAAGCTCTGGAGCTGTTTTAGGGACGTGGGTTGCGGCCATTGGGCGACAGCCTGGACCTTCTGGAGGTCCATTGAAAACCCTCTTGATGACACAACGAAACCCAGGAAGGAGATTGTCTCCTGATGGAAGGCACATTTCTCCAGTTTACAGTAGAGTCCATTCTCCAGCAGCCGGTAAAGAACGGCTCGCACGTGTGTGATGTGTTCGTCCAGGGTTCGGGAGTAGATCAGGATGTCGTCAAGGTAAACAAACACCCACCGGCCCAGCATGTCCCTCAGGACATCCGTGATTAGCCATTGGAAAACCGCGGGGCTGTTACACAAGCCAAAGGGCATGACCAGGTACTCCCAGTGGCCTGTCGGGGTGATGAAGGCGGTTTTCCACTCCTTGCCTTGTTTTATCCTGACCAAGTTGTAGGCGCTGCGCAGGTCCAACTTGGTGAATATGGTGGATTGGGACACTACATCCAGGGCAGTGGACATCAAGGACAAAGGGTGACGGTCGCGGACCGTGATCTTATTCAGACCCCGATAGTCGATTTCAGGGTCGAAGGCCCCCCTCCTTCTTTTTTACGAAGAAGAACCCCGCAGCTCCTGGCGAGGTGGAGGGTCGGATAAACCCCTGTTGGAGAGCCTCCATCATGTACGCCTCCACGGCCTGGGTCTCAGCTGGGGATAACGAGTGCAGGCGACCCCGGGGTGGAACTGTGCCAGGCTGGAGCTTTATTTCCAGGTCATATGGTCAGTGAGGAGGCAGGGTGGTGGTAGGTGTCTTTGAGAAGACCCGGGCCAGGTCATGGTAGCAGGAGGGGATCTGAGAGACATCGACATCTGGGGGTTCAGGTTCAGAGTCAGGTTGAGGAGGTACATGGGAATGACAAGCCACTCCCCAGGTGAGCAACCGCCCAGTGGATCAGGAGATCTGGGGGTTATGACGTAGGAACCAGGAGTGGCCTAGGATCAGCGGGGATAAAGGGGCTGTGATAATCAGGAACCGGAGGGTCTCGGAATGGGGAGGTACATCCATACGGAGGTCCACCGTCTCCTGGTGGATGGGATAGGGCTGGAGAGGAGTACCATCCACAGAGGTAACGGGAATGGTTCGGTGGAGAGCGGACAGGGGAATGTGTAGGCGGGTCACCAAATCCTTATCCATGAAACAATCCGCCACTCCAGAATCCAAAAGCGCCTCCAGCTCAACGGGCCCCTGGGCGAGATGAAGGGTCACTGGGAGCATGGTGCGGGTCGAGGGGGTTCCGGACGACCCAAGTAGGACCCCTCTGCTGCTGCCTACTTTGAGACGGCGTTTCCCGGCCGGGAAGGACAAGAAAAACGCCGATGGCCCGGTGCACCGCAATAGGCGCATAACCCCTCCTTATAGCGCCTCTCCCTCTCCTCTGGGTTTAGGTGTCCCAGCTGCATGGGCTCATCGGTGAGTGGGCTGGCTGAGCAGGACCGATCATTGGTTGCCGCAGGCTCAGCAGGTCGGCGAGTAAAGAGGCGTAAATCAATTTGGAGAGCGAGGTCGGCTGCCTCGTCCAGGGTCCCGGGGGTCTCCCGTCCGATCATCCCGTCTCTGATGCGAGATGAGAGCCCCTCCAGGTAGATCGCTTTTAGCGCGTCGTCTCCCCATCTCAGCTTGGCCGCCTTGGTCCGGAACCGAGACGTGTACTGCGCTACCGTCTGGTTTCCTTGCTGGAGCTGGAGGAGTTGCATCTCCATTGACGTCTCGCCACTGGGGGGAACGAAAACCCTCCTGAGTTCGTTCACGAACATATCATAGTCATTGCAGACTTCCGATTTCTTATTGTACATGGCTGCTGCCCACTTCTGAGCTCGGCCGGTGAGGAGGGAGACCAGCATCGTCACCTGGGAGCGGGGTGTGGCATATCGGTGTGGCTGACATTCGAACGTCATGGCTAACATGGCTAACAGTCCTTCAGGTGAGCCATGCGTTCCGTCCCATTTCTCCGGGAGGCTGAATATGGGTTGGTCTCGGTCACTGGAGGTCTGCTGCTGCGCAGCAGCAGAGAGTTGGAGAACCACCGTGGCGATGGAATCCACCTTGGCAGCTAGGCATTCCACCGTGACTTCCATCTGGTTAACCTGAGCACGCAGGTTATCAAACTCCGCTGGGTTAACAGTGAACTCAGTCATCCTGTAACGGGGTGACTCGAGCTGGGCAAGAGTTTGGATGTGGCGTGGCTTTTAACCCAAGCGCGGAGTGACTGACGCCAGGTTGAATGGACACGCGGTTTAATCTGGGAGCCGGGTGCGCAGCTGTACGGTGACACAGCTGAACACGGCGACTCCTGGTCTGAGGCTGATCCTTAAAGAGCGGGTCAATTGAGCCTCGGAGTCCTTCTCCACCCACGTATCAATTTTAAAAAATGCAACATTAGTAGGCGTTGCCTGGAGGACCGAGTGGGCGGAGCCGCGGCAGTGACGAAGACGATGGCTAACTAGACGAAGCTAGCTCCCTTCACTCTGAGCGGTCATTAGAAGTGGAGGACGTTTCTCCCCCTCTTTACACAGACACTCGAGAAGAAAGGGACCAAGTCTATTTGGAGGAGACAAGCGGACCTGAGTCTTATTGTTTTGAGCTTGTGAGTTGCCTGAAACTCCCAGAACCGACCCAACAGAATCACCTCTGAAAGGTAAGTAGCCGTTAGCCATAGCATTGGATTAGCTGCAGGGTTTGTCTCCACAGCCCTAAAAAGCTAGTATTCAGCATGTTTTAGAGGTTTATCTGCTTCAGCACACCTGGTTTTAATCAGCAACAAATAGCTGAGCTGCTTAACAGCTAATCTAACCTGTTAAAGCAGGAAAATCCACTGAAACATGCTGGATAGCAGCTCTCCGGTAGCTCTGGGCTCGTTACAGTCTGCTGCATATAAAGTTATGAAAATACCCCATGAGAAAATTATTCTGTAATGTGTTCAGCCCACTAAAACTGCCCTGATTTCTTTATTTATTTACTAATAACAGCTGCTCTCTCGGTTCTAGGTCCTCTGGTGTCTGCAGCTGGCCTCTGGTGTCTGCAGGTGGTCTCCTCTGCTGGTGCCATCAGGATCAGGAGCTTCCAGAAGAATGTGCCTTTCAATGACTCTTTCCCCCTTATTTGTTATATTAATTAAATAAATCTCAATTTATATTTCCTGTTTTTGTTCATGTCCATAAATACTTAAACATGCTTGAAATTAAAACGAGCTTTTAACAGCGAGGTGCTAGTTTAATTAATCACAATAGCTAGTTAAACATGCAACAAAAATGTGATAATCAATGTAATTTATAAATATCCATTAAAATATCAAAACTGGAATCTAAATGAGATATTTGGCAGCACAAAAAACTTGTCAAACACAATATTTATTATAATAATTGTAGGCAGACAGGAGACAGAGCTGATGGAGGTTCTCAGTCATCAAAGGATGGCTGAAGGCTTTCCAGGAACAGGAGATGTGGTGTTGTCTCTTCTCTCTCTATTCTGCCAGATGAGCTGATAGGTTACAGGTGTGTGAGGACATCCTCATGCTGTCATAACCAGATGACAGGAGTTATCAGGTGATCAGCCAGGCTAATGAGATGCAGAAAGAAAACAAATTCAGGACAGTGTACAATATGTGGTGTTGCTCACCTTATGTGCTCTTATAGAATATTAATGTGTGCATGCCTCATGGTGTAGAGTCCATATTTTGCTGAGTGGCCTGCAATAATGCATGTTATTAGTTAATTTACTTTTGATAGCAAAAACAAAATATTTAATGTAAAAGTTGTTTTCCAGGTGAATCAGCTCACACGTCACCACCAAGTGTCACAGGGGCAGAATCAGTAGCCCCCGTCATGATGTAATCACATACTTATTTAATTGTTAATATCTTAAAAAATCTGAAATGTTTTAATTTTTATTTATTACCTTGAACAGTTCACTGAGCTTGCACTGTCACTGAGGTGGAAGCTGGAATCAACAGCAGACACCTTACATCTTGGTCTTTTCAGGGGGTCTGGACGCTCTGGGACCTTCTGGAAGATGAATTTTCATCATGGTCCCCGTGGGTCACCAGACACACTGAGGCTGTGAACTCCATTCTGACTGGCTATGTAAAAACAAAGAAGCAGCACATTTATAAATGTTTAAAAGAGCATAAAATCACGTATAACAATAATCTGTAAAACAAATTAAAACTAGAAGGTGATAATAAAATGTTTACATAGAAGATTATTAAAAATAATTCACCTTTGCTACAGGGAAGGTTTCACGTTAGCCTGGACATGTACATTCTTGAAGCTAAATCAGTCTGACAGCCAGTGTCTTGGGTAGATTTAGCCTGAAAAAAAAAATAGAAGCACATTGTTGTTGGGAGTTTATAAAGTCAGATAATATACAAAAGAATCTCCTATATAGGCGCTTTATAACATTCCTAGTGTGTGATCGTTGTTATAACGTAAAAGTCAGTCACACATGATGTGGAGAGCCTGAAATGTGACCTCCTGAACAGAATTCCTCACAGAACCGGGTCACCAGCTGGATTTCACGCTGTAATGCTGTCTGTCAACTGCTGCGTCAGTTAGAGCCACTGTTGCAGAATTGCCAACTGACTAGCTAAAGGAAGTGAACCACGTCTCTCAGACTTTGCATTTAGGTAGGGAATTGTCTTTAGAAGATGTTAAAACGTTTATTTAGCTTACTCACCTCAGACTGGAGCCCGCCGTGGTGGGGGAGCAGAGTCGGTGGGCTGCATCTAAATCGCGGAAGAGCCACGGTGGGCAGCCTCCCTCTTCAAACGGAGACGTGCAGAATCGCGGGTAAAATGCCCACAGAGTCACCGCAAGCATACTACACTACACCATCTCACCATGCTAACACGATATGGAACACTAAAACCGAAATACTTTCCCAATTACGCTAACAGCCAAACACTAACTAAACTACAATATCCAACAGCCAAGCTAACACTAAATAAGTATTTATAACACTAAAAGATATGCTAAAGACTAGGATATGCTAATGCTATATGCTAATGCTGAACTACCGCTGCCCTCCTAAGCTCGCTTGCAAATCCAACTCCCACGCGCCACAGGGCGTGGCCGAGACGCCCGTTGCATTTATAACTTTGGCACGGAGCTGCTACGTAGTACTCTACTGGTTTACGTAGTACTTTACTCTTTAGCCATTGGCTAAAATTTATTCAAAATGACTCAAATTCTATGTTTTCAGCTGAAGGTGGCGCATTACTGTGGTTTTTAGACAGAATTTTTAATTTTTAAAGAAAATGAACCAAAATGCTAAAATAAAGAATGCACACATTTAAAACACAATTAGACACTCATTTATACAGTTCATCAGCAAAAAAAAGTTAATTTAGACGTTACTTGCTCTTTAAGAACAGGCAGGATTCTGAGATCTGGCTGGTCTGATCTGAACAGGCTTGGTGATCTGAGCTGATCTGGTTTGGATTCTAGGTTAGGTTCGGTTAGAACGATGACTGAGTGAGTCGGCGTTGTGCGGCACTTCCTTATATAGATTTGGCGGGTGACGTGAAACGGAAGCCTGGAGCTGGGGATGTTGGGTAATGGAGTCTGAGCGGCTCTGCGGTGCCTCCCTAGAGGAGGTTGACGGCTGAGAGGGAGGTTGTGTGACATTAGTTAAGTAGTCACTGTGACTTTTGCTAACTTTCAGAACACTTATTTCATATGAATGCTTGGTGTTGCTCAGAAAAGGTTTGAAATATTTTTCAAGAACGTTCTATGGAAATAGTACACTTCGGCAGTTGTATGGTCCTGAAACCACATTATTATTTGCACTTTACCTAATACATCCAGCCTACTTTAAGTTACTGGCATTGAAGTTGAGCATTGCTCATAGATTTAATTTTTTTACCAGGTGTTATTTTTTTATTTATTTGTATTTGAAATCATTCACTGGCCTGACTTGATTAAAACAGTGTTTACAAATTACATTGTGTTTGAGTTTTAATTATATTTTGTACGTTAATGTAGATTCTCAGTCACCTAGGACATGATGATCTTGAAATTTAAAATGAAAGCAACTGTACTTTTTTCTTGAAGTCCAGCTTCTTAACTCTTAAAGAGCAAGTCACCCCCTACCAGAGTCTTACTCCAGTCCCACCTCGTGTTTGAAAAATGCAACAAATGCTGTTGCTTGGCAGACGAGAGGGCAGAGCCCCTAACAAATACACACAGATACAGGCTCACAACAAATTTGTGACATCATATGGTACCAGCTAAGCCATAGGGTACCTCTTAGCCATTGACAATGTCAGGTTTAAATTCAAATGCAGTGCAGAGTTTTTACCTGAAGAGGGCGCAACACTAACAGTTTTAGGCAGACAATTTTATTCTTAACTAATATGTTCTAAAGTGCCAAATTATTGACGACACATGTCTACTGCACGATTAGACACTCATTTATATGATTTATCAGCAAAAAATGTTGATTTGGGGGGTGGCTTGCTCTTTAAATCTCAAGATTACAACAGCTTTTTTAAGAATATATTTTAAATAAGTAACAAAAAAGTTACTTTTAAGAGTAACTCATTTCTTTTTGATGTGAGTAATCAGTAAAGTAACTAAGTTACTTTTTGAATGAATTAATTAGTAACTGTAACTAGTTACTCTTTTCAGTAACCAGCACAACACTGATGAAGATACACAGTAAATTTAGTTCACAGCAAAGATGTTTGCTTCAGTTTAATTATCAGCTTATAAAACTACAAGGACGATGTTAAAATACTAACAGTTGTATGTTATTTATCGTGATATTTATCAAATATTGTTATATATTGAGAAAAATATCTATCTAATTATAAAAGAGAATTAAAATAATAAACACTCAAAACTATCAAAAACTGGTACCGTTAAGTACCGGTATCGATTCGTAGGTACCGGGAATTAGTACCAGATCGATTCAAATGTCAAAGGTACCCATCCCTATGACTATTTAGACAATCTAATGATTATTTTTCTATTGCAAAGTTAATATAAACCAAAAAATCTCTAATAAATTCCTCAAAAAAGTGATAAATTGTTACTGTAAGAGTACAGGCCTTCCATTTTGTATAACACTGCTTTTATTGTGTTGGTTGGTTATGTTCTGGTGACGTGTAGAACTTGGGAGTGCAGGCTGCTGCCTGAGAGGTGGTTGGAGACGGAGTGTCTCCATGCTGCTTTGTTTTGGTCACTTATGTGCGTGAGGCGAGTGGTGTTACGACCCTTCCTGGGGAGTTTGGCTCGTGTGCAAAAAGGAAGGGACAATAATATGGGATTTAAAAGTTAAAATGATGATCGGGTTTATTTACAACTACAAAAAATCATAAATCTTTCCATCCACAGGTTGGGAATAATAAAACTAATTCTGCCTGTGGGGAATTAAAACAAAAGTACAAATAAGTAGGGATGTCCCACTGGACAAAGATTATTGGGTTCTGGACCAAAATAAGAATCTCCAAAGGTCCAACTCTAAACTGGGCGGTTAAACCAAACTCAGGTGATATTTTAAACTAAACCGAAAACCCACAACACTCTAAATGTAATAAAAGGGAGATCTGCACCACAAAAAAGATGAACTCTAAACCAAAACGTAACAGTTTATCCCAACACGAGAAGCTGTTAGCGAAGATGCTAACAGTAGCTTTACCACCGTTAAGTTCAAGTTACCAAGTTTAAATAAACCAAAAACACCCAGCAGCAAACAGACCAGCACGGAGGAGAGACTGCTACCACCAAAACAGCTCTCCTCATGTCTGAAAGAAGCTCCTTTATGAAGGGAGAAACGCTCCCGGTGATGTTCTACATCTGCGACAGAGACGGAGCAGCGCATCTGACCCCGGAAGTTGTTGTCCGTTGCTGGGAGACGAAGGCGGGCAACACAGGAAAATAATCTAGTAGCGGACGGACATTGTTCCGGGTCTTCGGTATTTGGTGGAGATGTTAGTGAAGGCGGAGAAGAGGGCGAACTAGAGGAAAAACAGGCAGATTCCTCCTCTATTTACAAACTCCTGGGGATGCAACAAGTGGGCGCGGTGCGTCGACTACCGGATCTGACATCGACAAATTTTCGGAATCGAGCCGTCGATGTCATCGAGGCTTTGCTACAGCCCTACCGGTCACACCCACCCAAAATTCAAGTCTGTGAAGTAGGATGGTGAGGTCTACCGTGTCGAATGCTGCAGTCAGGTGGAGTAAGAGTAACAGCACTTGGGAGCCAGAGTCAGTTAGAATCAAGATGTCATTGAGTACCCTAATGTGTGCAGACTCTGTGCTGTAATTACGTCTAAAACCTGATTGGAATGGGTCAAGAAGCCCGTTGTCATCTAGGTGAGAAGTAAGCTGCGTGAGAGCCAGTTTCTCAACTACTTTTGAGATGAATGGAAGTTTTGAGATTGGGAGATAATTGGCACAGTCAGACTGGTCAAGGCCTGGTTTCTTCAATAGCGGCTGAACAACTGCATTTTTAAAAGCAGCTGGAAACACACCAGAGGAGAAGCTGGAATTGACAATATCCAAAACAGCGGGGCCACCGCTGGAAGGACATCGCGCAGCAGTCTTGGAGGAAGGCTGTCCTCTGGAGAGCCTGCGGGCTTCATAGCCAAGATTAGGTCAACCAGGGAAGAGAGTGTCACATGAGCAAAGCAAGAGAATGAGGGTGGACAGTGAGGTTCCACACAGCTAACCCAGCCTGAGTAAGAGAAACCTGTTCTAACTTCCTGGATTTTATGCAGGAAAAAGTTTTGAAACTCACTGCAAAGAGTCCCTGTAGAGGGAGACGGGTTGGGAGATCCTCTAAGGGATAGTACAGAGGTGAGGACACTGTACAGTTTCTTCTGGTCGTTTTTATGCCCAGTGATTATATTTGCAAAACATCTGTTTCTAGCTGTGCGGACAGCTTTCTGATAGCAGGTCAAAGAATCCTTGAGTAATTGGTAGGAGATTTGCAGCTTGTCCTTCCGCCACCGGCGTTCGCAGACCCTACATTGGCGTCTTAGGGCACGAGTCTCCTCATTGAGCCAAGGGTCTGCCACAGTTTTTTTATGCCTGGATTTTAGAGGAGTGACTGCATTTAAAACAGTTGAGCAGGTAGAGTTGAAAGAGGTC